CACACACACACACACACACACACACGCGTGCGCACAAACAAACACAAAAACATACATACAAAAACTCTCTCACATATACGCACACACACACACACATGCATTACTCTCGTTGCTCTCTACGTGCAGGGTAATGTAATATATTATAATATGATTACACACAAATGAGGTAGTGCTTGATGAAGCCCACGTGGGAGGCTCAATGTAAAAAACAATCAGGAAACGACAAATGCAGTTTTTGGGACACCTGAATAGTCATAATAAGGGTCTTGAACATCTAGCTCTCACTCGCAAAATTGAGGGCAAGCGAGGCAAGGGTAGGCCCAGAACAACATACTTAAGGACCTAAACAAATGGGTAACAGGGAAAGATCAGGAAAACGTAGCTTTTTTGAGAGCATCCGAGCAAATGAATGAATGGAAAACCATGATCTCCGATATCTGTCACAGATCTGGCACTGGATGATGATGGTGATGACACACATCTTTTTATTTTTCTTGTTCAGGGAAACATTCGCCCGGGCCTTTCACATCCCGCCAGACTTTGACGACACGTTCGTGAACCTGGGCCTGGGATCGCTGCTGTACCAGATGAAGGACACGATCCCTGGGGCTTGGGAGATTTGGTCAAGCCAGAACACCAATATCTCCTCAGGTGGGGAGTTTTTAAAAAATGATGTTAATGTTGTTGTTGTTGTTGTTGTTGTTGTTGTTGTTGTTGTTGTTGTTGTTGTCGTCTTCTTCGTTATCGTCGTCGCCGTTGTTGCTGTTGTTGTTGTTGTGGTTGTTGTTGGTGGTGGTGGTGATGGTGATGGTGGTGGTGGTGGTGGTGTTGGTGTTAGTGGTGTTGGTGTAAGTGAAGGTTGTAGTAATGGTGATGGTGGTTGTGATAGTGGTAGTAGTGGTGGGGGTGGTAGTGGTGATAGTGGTGCTGGTAGTAGTGATAATGGTGGTGTTAGTGGTGGTAGTGATGGTTGTGGTAGTAGTGGCAGTAGTTGTGGTGGTGATGGTGGTGGTGGTGGTGGTGGTGGTAGTGGTATTGGTAGTGGTGGTGGTGGTGGTGGT